TATATTTTTACTAAATTTCACCTGGCGTGATGTCGGCTAAATGAGCTGTCGAAGTGATTGTCGGTGAAATAATACGGTCTCACCTAAATTCGTTATATATATTTTACGGAATTCATTTTCTTTTTAACATGTGTCTGGTCAAATCTGGTTCTCATAAAACCAATAATTATTCATCGACGTATTTACCATAATCTTCAGCTCTTGGGACTCACAAATTTATAATATATGAAAAAAAGGAAATAAACTTTATGTAATTACTAGCATCAGGACCGTTCTTACGTCCGTGCTACAGTAAGCTACGGTGAAAGTAGTTATATTACTGATTTGGGTGTCTTATATATTCTAAATCAATGTTTTTATTGTCCGAAGGACATTACGGTAAAATCATAGAATTTTGTGTGTGTCCGCAAATTATGGATTTTGATTGATAGTAGGACTGATCGGTGTTCATTGCTTCAATCAGCCAATCAAATTCCTTCGGCTTAAATGGTCACCATTTACTTAGTATAGATAGTTAAGTAGTAGTCTGCGCATTAGAGCATTAATTGTGAGCGAATGTATTTACCGTTACCATATGGATGTGCAAATATATGTAACAGTGATTACGGGAATAAAAATTGGCCAATCATATTCGTTTTATTCCGAACGGACGTGGTAGTACAGTCAGATCTCCCTAAATGCATAATCTATGAAAAACCTCTCTAAATGCATGGTCTTGTTTGACCCCAACTCGTATGATATATATAGATTTTTTATCTCCCTAAATGCAATACCTCCCTAAATACAAGAATTTTCGATTTTTTTCATTCATTTAGGGAGGTCTGATTGTATATATTAACAATTAGCAAATGTAACTTTTTGATGGCGATACCGGGAAGACAAAGTTATATGTAAGCGCTACAAATATGTATATACGGTGGTTTTTTTATCACGATATGTTCAGCTGTGAAACATCGGATCAACATGGCGCATATAAGTAAATATTCAGATTCGTGTTACAGGTCGTCAACCAGAGTGATTTAAAGTGACACGCCAAAAATTTTAGTAGCATAGATATAGAAATTGTGGAGTAATTGTAGAGGAGGAAGACAAATTTTATTATCAATTATTAATATTAACTATATATCTAAATTTTTACAAGCAACTCTTTATATAAAATTTCTGCTAACACTAAAGAAAAAAGTTTACATAAATTAAGCAATAAATTTAACAACAATTGTAAGCATAGTAAAAAATAAATTACAGTATATATTTCTACACAAAATGTAATAATTGTACAATTACAGTTAAAGCTCGATACGTATAAGTAGCGAGGTCAGCGTTCGGATAGATTAGCGGCGCAACCAAAATTCAGCTGATCGGCCCGAATTGTGGGGTCGGATTTCATCGGATTTAGGCCGGCATTAAATAACAGCAAAATTATCATCTGGGCAGCTTTACTTAGTGAATGGTTTCAATGGAAGATTTTTGAAGGATCTTTGGCAAAATTAATCGCCGCCGGCACACTCGGACGGTTGCCATTACCAAGAGTTTGTGGCGTATATGTTACTTTATTCAAATCTGCAACAACGCTAAACACGTTTACATTATTCTGACCCTGATCGTAAAAGTCGACGACAAGAAAGTTTGGGATTTTTCCATTAAAAACACTAGTACAGTTTTGAGCATGCTTAGCAAGATTTTCACTATTAGTTGACGCGGCATTTTGAGGGTTGGGACCTTCGACCATACCACCGAATAAGACAGTATATAGGAAATGATTCAACAAATACATTTGTTGAGGTTGGTCTTTTGGTCGGTCAACGGTACATTGCCATGCATTAGGATCAGAGTTTTGAAATGGTGTTTCAAATACGTAAGAATATTCGGGCATTAACCTGTAAACAATATATAAGTTGGTAAGAAATAAAATATAATAAAATCATTATACAGTATAAAATATATTCGTACCATGGAACGGTATTATTATTAGTATTCTTGTCCATAAAGTTAATAACCCGTTTTCCAGATTGGATAATAGTAGACAAAGTAGGCCATGGTTCACCAACAGATTGTGTGAAGCAGTACTGAGTCAGATTCGCTTTATCATACTCATCTTTGTATCGAAGTGGATCTATATTATCAGAATTTTCCCAAAATATTGTAATTATTTCATTCGGATTATCTTGTAAATAACTTGTAAAGATTTTCAAAGTATTTGCAGCAGTTCCTGCATCCAATATTCTACAGTCCGTATGACAAAGTTCAATATCAGATCCTTTCGTGTGTCCATCAAGAAGGAAAACTCTAATACCATCCTTTAACTGTGTTGGAATGTCATAGTATTGATTTGATGCAGGATTGACACTATATGCATATGAGTTATGTGTTGCAGCAAACGCTACTTCGGAATAGGTCCTGTTACATAATTCCGCATATCCATTGCAAACCTGTGTTTTCGCTAAAGGAACAAAAATTATCGCGATGAGAGGAAACAAGAATGATAGCTTCATTATTATTTACTGGAGGTTAAGGTTGTGTCCGTTCGAATAATTTCTTAATCTTGAAAATTTTATGTATTATGCGTTTTTACCATAACTAATTACTTATAAATTCTGCACTTTTTCAATTACTTTTTTTTTTTTTTTATGATAAAACTTAGAAGACTATTATTTGTTATGTCAAGAGCCGATCGTATGAGTTGACAAGGCTTACCCGACAGCTAAAATTTTAAAATTACAGCTTATACCGATGAAGTTTTAGGTGCGTTAGAACGCAAATGTAGATAAAGATGAAAAGTGTAAAAGATATTATCTTTTTTTTTATTTGAAAGGTATAATACATGTTAATATATGTGCGTATCGAGTAAACTTGGTCACCGAAACCTTTTTGGCCAAATCCGAAAGTTTCGGGTTTCGGATTATAGTTTCCGAAACCTCATCC